GATCCGCTCGCTGTTCGAGCAGGCGTCTCTGAAGAAACGGTCCAAGAGACAGCAAGGCAAGAAACACAATTGGGAGACGGGAGTTGAGGATAGGCCTGTACGAGCGGAAGTGACGATGGGGCCGGAGGATGAGGCATCCCCGGAGTGGACACAAAGGGAACGACGTGGGAGGCCCCGAGGCACTTCACCCGAGACCTGCGACCAGGAGCTTACACACTGCATAACGCCGAGGGAAGCCATCGCGGCTGCCGATACGGTGCTGGCATTTCTTGGCCAGCCCGAGCTGCGAGAAGTGATGGCCCAGACGGACTGTCTGTCGATTGTGATGGTCCGGAGTCGGTTGCGGGAGCAGGTTGATGTACGATGTAGTTGATTCGTCCAGACACGCAAAGCGGGCGATGATGTGGGAAGCGGGCCGTGGTCGATGTTGTCTACCCTCCCAGCTTCTGGTCTTCGTAATACTGGCTGCGTTTGCTGGCTGCGCTTGCTAGCTGCGTTTGATTAATCGGGCCAAGCGCAAGGGTTCTCTGCCATTCGAGTGTCTAACAACAGTCCGTCATTAGCGAACACATGGCAGACACGCTCTTCGCCTTCACTGTAGCTCCCGCAGCACTCCGCTTCTTCGGTCTTCGTCTGCTAGTGATGTGTTTCGAAGTCTCGAACAACATTGGGACTGTGTGTCACCCCAGGCGACACCAGACTGTTCTCATGAGTTCTTCCGGACCGACTCGCCGATGGGCTGCTCTGGACGTAGCCACAGATAGCTGGCGATGGAGTCAAGGCATCAACTGTCGTTGAAACACTTCTTTACCTGTCTTCAAGCAAGCATTTCGAAAGAGCATTGGCGAATTGCGTGAGCATACTAAGTGTCACGGTAAAAAAAAAAGTTCACATGTCTTATGCAATAGGTAACTGATCACGCCGTCTTCTGCCTTCTCGGCACCAAGGAACTCGGCCTTGTAATGTCCGAAGGTGTCGGGCAGTCTCAGCGGATACGGAAGCCGCATCGGCTGCAATGCGTGTGTGTGGCACGGTGCACTCAATCATTGGCATATGGCTGGGGTCCGATGAACCACATCATCCATCCTTGCATCGGCGCCTGTTGCCTGCGCCTTGTGCCAAATCAGGCGGCCTCCATACCGTCGGGGATCCCATTACTGACCTCCGGATGGTAGGCGATAGGTCGGACATGGGGTGATAGCTGATCCCGAACAGCAAAAGCAAGTACCTCAGACCAGCAGTTGATCGAGCCAATCTGCAAGCTCGTTCAACCAATTCACGACTCTGCTACGTTGGAGGATCGTTGCATCGACTGGGAAGTGTGCCTTATCGTGGGTTCAACATGCCTCGTTGAAGCTATTTCGTTGCTGCCTTGCTTCTACATACTGCGTAGACAATACAGCCCACACAACAGGGGCAATTATGGGCAATGACAAGACAATTTGGCCATTAGTACGGAGTACCAACTGGAGCCTTTTCCGCGCCGGCAAGGATCACACAAGCGTTTGCTCGCACCGAAGAATGCCCCACGCAAGGCCCAAGGCCGGACGACAAACCGGCGTTGACGGAAAACAAGGTGGGGCGCCGGAATTAGCGTATGTTTAGTGCAGGTTGTTGGACACAGTTTCGTCCAGCGTGGAAGTGCGGCCTAACAAGCGGCCTAACAAACCTTCGTTGCAAAAAATGTTCAGATGAAAGACGGGCAGCGTACGGAGCTCAAGGCCGGCCGAATGATACGAGCATAACCATTTTCACCTTAGTCGACATGTCGACTTGATTTAGGCCCCTTTTGGCAAGCCAACACCCGCTGCCTTCATCTAAGCTAGGATGTTGCCTTGCGCTTTGGACCCTCCTCCCTTGCCATCATTTATCGCAGCAGGCAAAGGCCCAATCAGTCAACTCAAGACAGCGACCATGCCTTCT